TTCGGGAGACTAATATTTCGAGAATATCGTGACCACTAGAGGTGAGTTCATTTCTCACTAGTATTTTTATAATATGAAATGGCATGAGTTCTATATTTGATTTATCTTGTGATAAAATAAATAAATAAATAATATGTCTTTTCATGTATATAAAGATTTGACCTATTTCTGTTGTGGTCTATCCTATAATACTATGTTAACCTCGCACAATATATGAAAAGCTAATTTGATCTGTATATAAAATATGAAAAAATAAATTTGGCTCTCATGCAATTTTCAAATAATCGTGGACATTGTTTTATCTGAATAATTTGATGAGGTATTTGGAACGTATTTCAACAGTTTAACGGATTCAAAGACTCTTTGTGACTTAGTATCTGATAAAGGAAAAATCTGTAAACTGTTTTAACAGAAATGAGGAGCTTTACCTTGTCAATTTCATTTGAAATATCTGCAAATTCTGTATGCAAAGTATTTATCATTTGATATGTGATCTCGATGTTTTCAAACCCTCAAATAGTCCACTATGAATTAGTTCTGCCTGCCATATGGTGAATGCACCTTTATTTGGCCCTTCTGTATTGCCTTGGCCCTTCTGTATTGCACTTCTGAATCTGTTCTGGCGCCCCTCTGTATTTGCAGTAGCCTAGGCAGTGTTAGGTGCATTCGGTTCCCGGGAATTATCGTGTTATCTGATGCGGTACCGCATTCCCTTGCCTCTGGGCTAACAATTCGTTAGCCTTAGGTGTGACCATATGGGTGACTTTTACATTCATGGAATACTCATCGAGAAATATAGATTTTGGATATTGACTGTGAAATGAGGAAAACAACATTTCTCATGATTGTTGCCAAATTAGTAGTTCTTTTCTTCCTTAATGTTGTACTTGATTCAAAAGAGTTTGTTTCCCAGAAAATTTCAAAGTTTATTCAGTGCCACATGGAGAAGAAAATCTAATGGTTGTAATTCTGTTCTTAAAAATGACAATATTACGATATTTGATCGCTCTATTCTGCTATCTGCTGAATTTCTCTTGCGAACTATGAATTTGTAAATATTCTGAAGAAACTATTATTATTACTATTTTGTTGTTATCTAGGAACTCTATGAGGAAATTTCTCACTTGAAGCGCGTAGCTCATTCCGTTTTACATAATTTTTTTCCATCCGCGCGTACTTCCTATTAGCCACTTTTGCGTTTGGTTGTGGCTGCAGGGCGTAAATATGGAGCCTCTTCTTTTTTATGTTACCTCCAGCATATTTCGTTTTGTTTTAAATACTTATACCGGTGAAGCTTTGGCTGTAAGTACCAGTTATTATTATATAGTTTGCTCTGATTTCTATCATCAGCAGGTTTAATGAATATTTTTGAAAATAAACTATCGAGTATGATTTGCCAGCTTGGACTTGCTCATAAGACTTGTCTCCGAGACTTGTATTGACTTTCCGTAGTGCAACAAAGTAAACCATTCGCACAAGTATCCTATTTACCGAGATCATTGATTGATACTATCTGATCAATTACAAGGCAGCTCAAGTATTTTCAAGATTGACTCTTCGCTTCTGGTATCTATCAGTTAAAGATAATCCGGAAGATGCTGCCAAAAGCACTGCATTTCGACGTCGCTTATGTCATTCATGAATTTTTTAGTTTTACATTCAGGCTCACAAAGTTGCCCACCTGCCGGCTCGATTATTGCGATCTTATTGTAACAGGATATTTAAACCTTTCTTAGATCAGTTTGTGCCGTGTATTTATGCATAGGAGTGCTTCCATGGATATATTCAAGGAAAGCTAAAGAAGGAACATGAAGACACACTGCAGACAAGTGCTTGCACACATTAAGAGAGAACAACTTATAATCATAGACCATTTTTTTTTTTTTTTTTTTTTTTTTTTTGCGAAACTTAAGAAATGTGAATTCTGCGTTAGCAGGAAGGGGCCATCTTTCTGGCGGCATGTAATCTCTAAGCAAGGCGATTCTGTGGACCCTGAAAACAGGTAAAAGCCATTCTTAAAATGGCGACAGACCACTACTGTGACGGAGATCCGTAGCTTCTCCTTGCCGAATGGCTGGCATAATTATTTAGCCAAAATTTGTAGATAGGATTACTCATCGTATTGCTTCACCTACTTAACTCGTTCTTACTCAGAAAGGCGAATTAAATTTATTTGGTCAGGCATGGAATGCTGAGAAGAAGCTTTCAAGAGCTAAAAAAGTCGATATGTCTGCTCCAATACTTGCATTACCCAGGGAGACAACAGGCTTTGTTATGCTATAGTGATGCCTCCTCTAGAAGTGAGCGGCCCTCGGGATGTGTACTTATGCCAAAATGCGCAAGTAATAGCCATATGCTTCAAGCCAAGTTAAAGCTTACTGAACAAAACTATCCCACTCATGATCTTTTGAGTTAGCGCGCGCAGTAGTGTTTGGCTCTCAAAGATTTGGAGACATTATATATATGAGATACCATTGCTGAAAATATATACTGACCATAAGAGTTTAAAATAATATATTTACCCCAAAAGGCAGCTTGAATTTACGCAAAGAAGATGCGTTGAGCTTGCTGAAACGATTTATTGATATGACCATCCCATTATACCCTGGGCCAAGGCAATGTTTTGTTGCTGGATGCCTGAGCCGTAAGAATTCATGCTAATTTTAGCTTGCCTAATTACTTCTCAAAGAAAAATATTGGAGGACTTGGATCGTACTGGATGAAATTAGAGGTTCCACCAGAATTGGACGTTAATTAAGCAAGCTATGCCAATAATACAACCCTCTTTGCTAGATGAAAATTAAAGCAACCCAGCCCAGAATGCATCCTCAACTGTTGAAGATAAAGAAGATGTGAGAAGAGGCACTCGAGGAGAGTTTTAGATACATAAGATGGATCATTGAGATTTGGCGAACCTAGAGTTTTGGTGTGCCTAACCATACTAGCAGATAAAGAAAAAAGATTCTAAAGGAGGCCACATCACTCTCTGTATACTATGCATCCTGCCGATCAACAAAAGTATAAAGACCTGAAGCGAAATATATCTTGTGGAATAATATGAGAAGGAAATTAGCCACCTATGTTGCCCCAGCAATGTTCACTGCCGCCAACAAGTAAAGGCTTGAGCATCAAAGACCAGCTGGCATTAGTCCATAACTTTGGACAATACCAATGTGGAAATGGGAAAAGATCACCATGCGCATTTCGTCACTGGCTTTCGCAAATCCTTGAGAAAAGAATGATGCAATATGGGTAATTGTTGACCGCGTTGAACAAAGTCCAGCACCTTCTTTACCTATCAATGTGAAATTCTCATTAGAAAAGCTGACTAAGATGTACATTAATGAGATAGTAAGCGTTACATGGTATACCAATATCAAATAGCTTCTGATCAAGATCCTAGATTCACATCAGAAATACTGGAAAAAAGTGCTGCACAGAGCTCTGCCCCAGACTAACTAAATTTCGAGCCTCAGCTTTCATCACAAACAGACGGCCAATCAGAACGGACAATTCAACATCTAGAAGATTATGTTGAGATGTTGTGCTTCTGCGAGATGAAAAGATCGTGGAAGATTATCTGCCTTTTGGCTGAGTTTGCATATGAATAATCAGCCTACCAAAGCATAGCACTTCAGCGATGGCACACATATGAACTTCTTTATGGAAGGAAATGCTAGATCTCCTACTTCATTGGAATGATGTGGAGAAAGAAAATTCTTGGCACAAGTTGTACAGCAAGCAATTTGATAAAATTCAATTAGTTCGAGAACGTCTTCGCACGGCACAAAAGTCGTTCAGAAGAGTTATGCTGGATCAAGAGAAGAAGAGAATTAAGAATTCAAGTAGGCCCCCAATCATGTTTTCTTAAAGGGTTTCGCCTACCCGAGGCAAGTTAAAAATTAGCATTGGAATCCAAGGCGAATTAGCCGAGATTCATTGCGCTCCTTTTGAATTCTAGAGCGTATTGATCCAGTAGGCCGTACAGATATAGGCATTACCCCCAGCTCTGCTCTGCGAGCTTCATGATGTATTTCATATATCCATGCTTCGAAAGTTCCATCGAGATCCAAATGAGCATGTTGAGTTGTCTCCAGTAGAGCTCAAGCCAAGATTTGACCTATTGAAGGAAAGCACCAGAACGTAATTGTGATTATAAAGAACAAGTGACTCCGACACCGAATAATCAAATATGTGGAAAAGTTCAGTGGAAGAATCACTCTGAAACGAGCAAGCTACTTGGGCAGACTGAAGGCATTCTAATGCCGAGAGAGATATCCAGCAGCTACTTCGAGATGATATGGTCATGTTAAGTTTACGAGGACGAAAACTTTTTATTAGGAGGGAAGAGTGTAGTAACCCAAACTAATTAAAGTCTTAAACTTGATTAATAATTTTAATGACAGATTAATTACTAATTAAGGTATTTCATAGGGATTTACCATTAACCCCTGATTAATTGCCACGTTAATAGTGACATGGAGTCCATTGTAGCCCAGATTCCTAGTGATGACCAGAGACTTGCCCCCTCTGTGGGTGAGTCGAGTAGCATAGGCATTGGTCCAGATCTTGACCTTGAAGGATGGGGGACTAGCGGCATAGATCCAGATCCAATGTCCAATTCTGTTGATAACCAAGACTCAGAGGAGACTGAACCAACTGAGGAGAAGTCTAGTTCCAGCAGCTCTTCTTCAGGGAAATAGAGCATAACTGTTAGGGCAATTTTGTAATATCAGTATATGGGTTTTCATAGTTACTCTTTTGGTTTATGTAGGACATTTTGGTAGAAAATATGTATATATAAACCCATATACTCAGATATGTGTATGAACTAAAAAGTTAAATATTAATAATATATTTTGGTTTGTAAATACTAACTTGTGATATTATGTTGAGTAATGATTGAGTTCCTAATTACTCAAATTGCATATATGTGATTGACTTAGGAATTTCTCCTTGTATAATAGTTGACTGAAATATTTTATTATTTATAGGAAGATATGGCTCCAGGTAATGGGCAAACCCCTCCTAATGGAGATAGGGATCTAAATCAGACAATAGGTGAAATGATGAGATCTAGAATTTCTCGTGCATCCACTTCCGGGAACCCAATAGATAACAATGCGTTGATGGATCTGCTGCAAGCGGTGACAACTGTAGTCACCAGACAACAAGATCAAATTGATCGTAATCAGACGAATGGTCAAAATGAGGAGCACCCAAAATTAAGAAGTGGCATGGGAGAATTCAAGAAACTATCTCCACCCAGTTTTGAGGGAACAACTGATCCCATGATTGCTAAGCATTGGATCACAGAAATGGAGAAGGTCTTCACATACATGAAATGCCCTGAAGAGGAGAAGGTTGATTATGCAGTATACATGTTAAAAGACCGCGCTTACGGGTGGTGGCAAATGCAGGTCAGGACGTTGGGAGAGAAAGCATACAAGTTATCATGGGAGGAGTTTAAAAAGATTTTTTATGAAAAATATTTTCCTTCAACTGTTCGTAAACAAAAAGAACAGGAGTTTCGAAAATTGGAGCAAGGTGACAAGACGGTAGCTGAATATGAAGAAGAGTTCACTTATCTATCAAAGTTTGCCATTCACTTGTTGGGTAATGAGGAAGATAGAGCTCGTCGCTTCGAGGAAGGGCTTCGACCGGACATTCGGAAGACGGTCAGTGCATTTGAACTCCCTACATATGGAGAAGTGTTAAAGAAAGCTTTGTTAATTGAGAAAAATGAAATTGATACAAAGCCAAAGAACGAGACGAGCAGCTCCTACCCAAAGAAGCGGTTCTGGCAGGATAATCGCGGAGGAAAGAACAAGAATTGGAGAAACAAGAAGCAAAATTTTGGACGCAGAGAGGAGCAATTTCCAAATCAGAAAACTTTAAGATGTGATGTTTGTTAAACTTGGGCATGAAGCGAAAAGTTGTTGGAGAAATACTGGGGCTTGTTTGAGATGTGGTCAGAAAGATCACAAGATAGCAAATTGTCCCCTACAACAACCATCTCGGAATACTTTCCAGACTGGCCAGTCCAGTGGTGGGAATCGGTATCCTCAAGCCAAGGCCCGAGTTTATTCTTTGACTGAGAAGGAAGCAGAAGCAAACAAGGATGTGGTGACAGGTACGCTAACTTTTGCATCAGTTCCTGCTCGAGTACTATTTGATTCTGGTGCATCGCATTCCTTTATTGCTGCACAGTTTGTTAAGAGAAACAAATTTCAATGTGATACCCTACAACAAGAATTGCTTATTAGTACACCTGGAGGTAGCATATTAGTATCAACTCAAGGTTGTAGGGGTAAAATTTATATTCTCGACAAGGAACTCCCCGTAGAATTAATGATACTAGAAATGCATGATTTCGATATCATATTGGGGATGGATTGGTTATCCTTAAATCATGCTTCTATTTTGTGTCAAGAAAAGAAAGTAGTATTCAAATTTCCTGGCCAACCCGAATTTTGTTTTGAGGGCGGCAAGTGTCAAGAACCTTAAAAATTATCTCAGGCCCTTAAGGCATATCGAGAGCGGCTGAGCTATTGGATGTTATGGGTTATTTGGCTTTCAATTGAGATGGTTTGATGAATGGAAACGAGTCTAGCAAGCTTTGAAGAAATACCAATTGTCCGACAATGAATTTCCAGAAGTATTTCCATGATGTAACTTCCAGGAATGGCCTCGCAGATAGAGAATTGAATTTTCATTGACCTAGTAGCCTGGTACGAGTTCTAATCTCTAAGACTCCTTATCGAATGGCACCTGCTGAATTGAGATACTCTCAAGATACACTGCAAGAACTTTTAGATAAAGGCTTCATATCGGTTACCCTGGTGTCGTGTTCACCCGACTACTGAGGGTGCTACCATAAGTGTTATTTGTGAAGTAAGAAAGATGGAAGTATGAGTACTATGTATTGAGCTTCGCGTGAGTTTGAACAAAGTAACCGCATCTCGGACACAAGTATCCATTACCGGAGTAATTGATGATACTATGTTTGTGATGCAATTACAGAGCTGCAAGTATTTTCCAAGATTGGATCTTGCGTTCTTGGTTACTATCAGTTAAGATTAATACGCGGAGATGTGCCAAAGACTCGTGCATTTCGCAACTGCGTTATGGTCAGTTATATGAATTTTTATTTGCTGTTATGCATTCGGGCTCGATTAATTCATCCTGCGGTCATTTATGGCATCTTATGAACTCAGGATATTTTAAACCTTATCTTAGATCAGTTGCTGTGGTATTTTATTGATGACTGTTCTGATATATTCCAAGAAGTTAAAGAAGATACATGAATAGACACTTGCAGACAAGTTGTTGCAGCACATTAAAGAGAGAAAACATATGCGAAATTTCGTTCACAGAAATTGTGAATTCTGGTTAGAGGAAGTGGCATTTCTTGGGCATGTAATCTCTCACAGGAAGGGGATTTCTGTTGGACCCTGAAAAGGTAAAAGCCATTGTTAAATAGGGAAGAGACCCGACTATCTGTGACGGAGATGCCGTAGCTTTGCTTGGAATGGCTGGCATACTATAGAAAATTGTAGAAGGAATTCTCCTCGTATTGCTCTCACCTCTAACGATCGTCTTACTCAGAAAGGGAATTAAATTTATTTGGTCAGAATGAATGTGAGAAAAGGCTTTCAATGAGTCTAAAAAAGTCGATAAGTGTCTGCTGCCAATACTTTCGCATTACCCGCAGTGGAGACAGCAGCTTGTTTATCTATAGTGATGCTGCTAGAAGAGGACTGGGATGTGTATTATGCAAAATGGAAAAGTAATAGGGCATATGCTTCAAGGCAGTTAAGCCTTATGAAGCAAAACTATCTCACGCTCATGATCTTGAGTTAGGCGCAGTAGTGTTTGTCTGCAGAATTTGGAGACGAGGTTATTAATGAGAATACATGTGTGAAATGATATACCGAACTCTATAAGAGTATTTAACAATACCTATATTTCTCAAAAGAGAGTTGAATTTACGGGGCAAGAAGAGATGTTTGGCAGCTTCTGAAAGATTATATATGACCATCCATTATCACGCTGGCAGGCAAATGTGTTGGCTACTGATTGCTCTGAGGCCGTAAGAATTCATGTAATTTAGGCTTATGGCTCATTAACTTCTCAAAGAAAATAATTGAGGACTTGGATCGTTACTGGAATTGAAATTAGAGTCCACAAAATTGGAGTTAAATTAGCAAGTATGATAATACAACTCTTTGCTAGATGAAATTAAAGGCAAACCAGCAGAATGGATCCTCAAGCTTTGAGATAAAGAAAGATGTGGAAGAAGGCAACTCGAGGAGAGTTTAAGATACATAAAGATGGATCATTGAGATTTGGAAGCTAGAGTTTGTGTGGCCTAACATACCAGAGTATACGAATAAAGATTTCTAAAGGAGGCAGCATGCACTCTCTGTATACTATGCAGTCCTGGATCAACAAAAATGTATAAAAGACGTGAAAGGAATATACTTGGTGGAATAATATGAAAGAGGAAATTGAGAGCACTAATGTTGTCAGAATAGTTTCACTTGCCAACAAGTAAAGGCTGACATCAAAGACGCAGCTGGATTAGTCCATAACTTGGACATACAAATGGTGGAAATGGGAAAAGATCACCATGGATTTCGTCACTGGCCTTGACACTCCGAAATCCTTGAGAAGAATGATGAACTCATGGGTTTACTTGTGTTGACCGGTTAGCAAAGTCAGCTTACCACTTTTTACCTAATCAATGTGAAATTCTCATTAGAAAAGCTGACTAAGATGTACATTAATAGAGATAGTAAGGTTACATGGTATACAATATCAATAGTTTCTGATCAAGATCCTAGATTCACATCAGAAATACTGGAAAAGTGTGCAGCAGAGCTCTGCAGACTAAACTAAATTTCAGCTCAGCTTATCATCCAAAACAGACGGGCGAATCAGAACGGACAATTCAAACACTAGAAGATATGTTGAGATTTTTGTGTTCTGGAGATGAAAGGATCGTGGGAAGATTATCTGGCCTTTGGCTGAGTTTGCATATAATAATAGCTAGCCAGAGCTAGCATTCAGATAGCAGCCATATGAACTTCTTTATGGAAGGAAATGTAGATCGTCCTATTCATTGGAATGATGTGGGAGAAAGAAAACTTCTTGGAGCAGAAGTTGGTACAGGCAACGCAATTGATAAAATTCATAGTTTTCGAGAACGTCTTCGCAGCAGCAAAGTCGTCAGAAGAGTTATGCTGATCAAGAAGAAGAGAATTAGAATTTCAAGTAGGGGCAATCATGTTTTCTTAAAGGTTTCGCCTACGCCGAGGAGTAAAAAGATTTTGGAATCCAAGGAGTGTAAGCCGAGATTCATTGGTCCTTTTTTGAAATTCTAGAGCGTTATTGGTCCAGTGGCGTACAGATTAGCATTACCCCAGGCTCTGTCTGGAGTTCATGATGTATTTCATATATCCATGCTTCGAAAAGTTCATTCCGAGATACCAAATGAGATTGTTGAGTTGTCTCAGTAGAGCTCAAGCAGATTTGACCTATGAAGAAAGACCAAGAACGTATTGTGGATTATAAAGAACAAGTGCTCCGACACCTGAATAATCAATATGTGAAAGTTCAGTGGAAGAAATCACTCTGAAAGAGAAGCTACTTGGGAGACTGAAGATTCTATGCGAGAGAGATATCCAGAGCTCTTCGAGATATAGGTATGTTAGTTTCGAGACGAAACTTTTTTATTAGGAGGGAAGAGTGTAGTAACCCAACTAATTAAAGTCTTAAAACTTGATTAATAATTTTTAATGACAGATTAATTAACTAATTAAGGGTATTTTAGGGATTTTACCATAACCCCTGATTAATTGCGGACGTTAATAGTTGTGTGGCTAAATGTTATTTGAAGATTTGAGACGGGCACCTCTTAACGGAAGAATAAAAACAAATGAAAACAGACAAAAATATCAAAGAAAATCGGCAGAAAATAAAACAAACAGAAATATCCTCTCATCTTCTTCAACCCCACCCTGCTCGTAGAAACCTAAATTAAAGTTGTGAAAAGAAATAAAAGAAGAAGAGGAAGAAGACAGTGAAAGGAATAACAGAGAGAGAAGAAGAGGAAGAAAAAAGAAGAAGGGAAAGTGGAAATCAGCTCCTAAGGTATAATCTTCTTCCAATTTCATAGTAAAATCGAATCAATTAGAATAAGTAAGAGAGTTAAGTTGTTATGATCATGAACTTAAAATCTAGGGTTTTCAAAAAAGGACTTTTCTTATGTGTTTATTATGCATGAAACAAACTAAGAAAAAGAAAAAAAGACTAACACTAGTTTGGTAGGAATTTGACACCGGCCACTCTTGGTCGCGCGGCAACCCCCCCCTGTCGTCGTCTTGGTGCTTTGGCGAGTCGTGAGAAAGAAAGAGAGCAGGGAGAGGAAGGAGGAGAGAGAGAGAGAGAGGAGAGAGGAGAGAAGAAAAAAAAACCGAAAAAAAGAAAAGAAAAGAGGGAAACGGAAGAAAAAAAAGAAGAAGAAAGAATGCAGAAAGAATCAACGGGAGGAGGAAGATGATCAGTTAGATTTATTTTAAGGAGGAAATTTTTATAAAGGACCCTTAGTTATTTTTACTTGCTTATAAAACCCTCTTGAGTGGAGAAATAGAAATTGTGATCTAAGAATTCATTCTAAGTCCTAAAAGCCACACAAAATTTTGTAAGTAAACCCTACAGAGGAAGCTAAAATCTTATATGAACAGAATAATTTCAATATAGACCCCTATCAATTACTCTATTTCCAAACAAGTCCAATTTGAAGAGTAAAAGATAATTATTAGGCTCTAGTTCATGAATTGAATTACGCTATAATATATGTTTGTCCTGAATTAATAATTAGTCCTATATCTTACATTATAGGTTCTGGCTGATATTCGGGAGACTAATATTTCGAGAATATCGTTGACCGACTATGAGGTGAGTTCATTTCTACTTAGTATTTTTTATAATATGAAATGGCATGAGTTCTATATTTGATTTATCTTGTGATAAAATAAATAAATAAAATAATATGTCTTTTCATGTATACTAAAGATTTTGACCTATTTCTGTTGTGGTCTATGCCTATATATACTATGTTAACCTTCGCACAATATATGAAAAGCTAATTTGATCTGTATATAAAATATGAAAAATAAATTTGGGCTCTCATGCAATTTTTCAAATAATCGTGACATTGTTTTAATCTGAATAATTTGATTGAGGTTATTTGGAACGTATTCACAGTTTAACGGATTCAAAGCGTCTTTGTGACTTAGTATCTGATAAAGGAAAAATTCTGTAAACTGTTTTAACAGAAATGAGGCGCTTTACGCTTGTCAATTTCATTTGAAATATCGTGCGGCAAATTCTGTATGCAAAGTATTTATCATTTGATATGTGATCTCGATGTTTTCAAACCCTCAATAGTCCACTATGAATTAGTTCTGGCTTGCCATATGGTGAATGCACCTTTATTTGCCCTTCTGTATTTGGCCTTGCCCTTCTGTATTGGCCCTATCTGAATCTTGTTCTGGCCCCTCTGTATTTGGCGCAGTAGCTCTATGGCAGTGTTAGGTGCATTCGGTTCCGGGGAATTATCTGTTATCTGATGGCGGTTACGCATTCCCTTGGCTACTGGGGTCTAAAATTCGGTAGCCTTAGTGTGACGCTATGGGGTGACTTTTACATTCATGGAATACTCATCGAGAAATAAGTTTTGATAAATTTGACTGTGAAATTGAGAAAACAACAATTCTCTGATTTTGCCCAAATTAGTAGTTCTTTTTCTTCTTAATGTTTACCTTGATTCAAAAAGAGTTTGTTTCCAGAAATTTCACAGTTTATTCAGTGCAGCATGAGAAAGAAATATATTGTTGTATTCTTTCTTAAAAATGACAATATTACGATATTTGGATCGTATTCGGTGCTATCTGTGGAATTTCTCATCGCAAAACTTGAAATTGTAAATTTCTGAGAACTATTATTATTACTATTTTGTTAGTTATCTAGGAACTCTGATAGGGAAATGTTCTCACTAGAGCGCTAGCTCATTCCGTTGTTTTTAATATTTTTTCAGATCCGGCGTAGCTTCCTATTAGCGCGACTTTTGGTTTGAGCTTGTGGCTGAGAGGCCGTTATATGGAGAGGCCTCTTCTTTTTTATGTTACGTTCAGCATATTTCGTTTTGTTTTGTAAAAATACTTATAACGGTGAGCTTGTGGGCTGTAAGTACCAGTTATATATATATATAGTTGCTGCCTGATTTCTATCATCAGCAGGTTTATGAATATTTTGAAAATAAACTATGCGATATGATTTGGCCAGGCTTGACTTGTGCATAAGACTTGGTCTCGGTGCAGCAGGTCGCTGCTGTCGCGTACCCCGTATTTTATGATATTCCGCTGTAGTTTCGGGGCGTGACAGGAGAGATCTGCTAGAATATGAAAATATGACTCAAGCCTCACCAAAACATTGGAGTTTTGGTACATTGGTAGGATCTTTATAATGGTATGAGAGCAACTCAGGTTCAAATTCTGCTAGCCACAAGTTTAAAACGGGGTTTCTAAAAATAATACCGCTGCATGAGTTAATGTTTCTGCCCTTAAAAGGGTCTTCAACCTGTAGGGCATGTCAGAATCTAAAAATAATTACTCTCAAATCTCATCACAACTTTAGAGTTTTGATGTATTAATTAAGGACTTTAACATGGTATCAGAACAACCAAAGTTCGAATCTTACTAGCGGCAAATGTCTATTGTATACATCAAACCTCCAACACTATGATGAAGGTTGAGAGTCTATTCTAACATGCCCCTGTAAGTGGAGTGCTCTTTTTATAGACTGATCCTACTGACCATGATAATGGGGATTAAAAGTATTAGTAACATTAGATGAGCCCAGGTTTTAGCCCATAAAAAACACACTCAACTGAAATTACCCTAGAGAGGGATGAATAGGGTAGTAAAACAATAAATGTGTAATAAATAAAATTCAATGCAACACAAGACACAAATTAAATGCTATGGTAATAAATAAGGAGGAAAGTTAGAGAATAGTTATCCAATATGACACAGAGATATGTCCACGAGGTTCGGTCTTCCGACCTACGTCCTCGACCACCTCTCCCGATGGTAACTTTACTATCACATCCGGTTTGGAAGCCAGAACTTCTTCACAACGATCTTCCCTCGAGATCTTACAACCCTCACAACGATCTCCTCAAGATCAATCTCACCACACAATCACAAGATGAAATAAAAGAAAATCTCTCACAACAATCCTATGACAAGGATCAAGAGATAAACAAATCAATCTTAGGGGTTTGTGAGATGTGGAATTGAGAAACCGAAAACTTAGAAATAATTGAGAATGAAGATTTGAAAGTTTAAGCTCAATAACACTTTAGAAACAAAACTTAGGGATTTTTCTTTGCTTGCTCTCTTTCTGAAGTGAAGAGGGTCAAGGGATATATATAGAAGCCCCAAACAATAGCCCAAATCCCAAACAAATCACCAAATCCCAGATTTTTAGCTCAAACAAAAACTAGCCATTAACAGTGCCATCAGTCGATTAATATCTGTTTATCAGTCAACTAATGAGGCGACCGTTATAGGCTGCTCATCTGTTATTGATCGACTGATGAACTTATCAGTCGACTGATAACCTATATCAGTCGACTGAGCAGAAATTTTTGCTCTTTCCAGCGTGTTTTATCGGTCAACTGATAATAAGTATCAGTCGACAGATAAATGTGCACAGGCACTGTCAGATATGAAAATGAGTTTTAAAGTGCCTTTAAAAATAGCAAATAAAATCCAAAAAATATGAAACTTTGGGAAATTCTTATTAACATAAATATAAACATGTTAGAAAAGGAATTTTCGAAAAATCATTTCCCAATTGTAAAAACTACTCATTTTTCAAAAATAGTTAAAAACTTGTTTTTATAAGTGTGGTATGTGTGAACCCCAATCGCTTTAAATATTGTCTACTTAATAACTTGTCTACATTAAGCTCTAGAAAGATATAAAAATGCAAATATCTCACACATATGAATACAATTTTTTTGGTCTTGATATTTGCTCAAATATTGATGAAGCTTCTTTTGTATATGTTGTTCTTGAAAGTTTTTCTTCATTAACTTGCCTCCATCTCCTTGGATATCATCGTTGTAGCTCATATTTCGTCCAATTCTCCAATCGTTTGTACTATCTTGCTTGGCAAAATACAATCTACATAATATCACTCAATCAAGCAATTAACGTCAATAATGGTGTTTGTAAGTCATCATCAAAACAAGAGAACTAACAATCTCTCCTTTTTTTGATGATGACAAACCATCATTATTCAATAGCTTGAATAAAATAAAATTTTAGCTTATAGATAGTTGCTCCCCTATTTATAAGACTCTCCCCCTATCTATGTGCACAAATTAGGAGATTTCTCTCCCCCTTTGTCAACATCAAAATAGGGTAAATAAGATAATATACATGTG